TTAGTCTAACTCTTTTAGTGATAGGACAATTTGATACTCAAAAGAAATATAAAGGATTACAAAGAATGTTCTCTACATATTATCTATGTAAAGAGAGCATATGATCAAAAGCACAGGCTTCAGAATTGGCCTGCCTAGGTTTAGCTCCATCCCTTATTAGCTGGGTGGCCTTGGCCAAGTTGCTTAACCTCTCTGAACCTGTTTCCTCATATGTGAAAGGGTAACAGAGAAGAACAAACCTGACTCCATACTGGATCTATTCCTTTAGCTCTAACCCTTGTGCTCTGTAGCCTGTGCTTACTCATGTTGGCTTTGCACCTTTTGTAAAAGAATGTTGCCTATAGCCTGAAATATACAGGATAGCCTAGTCTCAGGGCTCTGACCTTTAAAGCTATAACACTTTTCCATTAAACATTTGCAGAACAGAGAATAATATTTGTCTTGTTGGAGGTTTATAGGAACATTATGACCAGACCTATGTGCACAGCTGCTAGAACAAAGGATTCCAGCACCAAGAAGTTTGCAGCTACCAGCCACACCCCCTCCCCTTTTAGTATAAAAGAAGCCTGAATTCTAACTCAGGTAAGATGGTTCTTTGGGACACTAGTCCACCATCTTCTCTGTCTGCTGGTTTTCTGAATAAAGTCTCTTTTCCTTGTCCCAACACCTCATCTCTCCTGATTTTGTGGGGAACAGTACAAGCTTGGACTCAGTAACAAAAGATAATAATAGTATCTATGACATCAAATTGTTGAGATAGTTAGATATATAGATACACAGGTAGATTTAGATGGAGATTACATGCAACAGTGCTTGGTACATGGTAAGCACAATACATACATGCCTATTTTTAGACTAAAGATAAGTTTATTATAAACCTTAGGGTAATTAAACTGACTACTTAAAGCCCAGTATAACAAATGTGTTAAAAGCATTTTAAGAGCATAATACAGAGCCTCTGGAAGCATGGCTATTTTATAATAATTGACATGATAGTGGTTAGTCCTGGGAAGCTATTTCAACTTGAATCCTTAAATAGTTGAAGAAGAAAGAAAAGGCAGGAGGAGTAAGTGGTACCAAACTATCTTTGTATTCCCTGCACCGCACTCCCAGCAAAGGACATGCTCGGCCCTACCCCACCCTGCTCTGTCAGTATGACCACTTTTTTTTTTAATTAATTTATTTTATTTTGTTGCGTCAGCTCCCTAACTGTGGCATGCATGTGGGATCTTCCCTGACCAGGACCCCCTGCATTGGGAGCACGGAGTCCCAACCAGGGAAGTCCCAGTATGACCTTTTTTTTTTTTTTTTTTTGCTGTACGCGGGCCTCTCACTGTTGTGGCCTCCCCCGTTGCAGAGCACAGGCTCCGGACGCGCAGACTCAGCGGCCATGGCTCACGGGCCCAGCCGCTCCGCGGCATGTGGGATCTTCCCGGACCGGGGCACGAACCCGTGTCCCCTGTATCGGCAGGCGGACTCTCAACCACTGCGCCACCAGGGAAGCCCCCAGTATGACCATTTTTAACTCATCATTTCATGTAATGCATTAAGGTTGATAAATCTCCTCACACCAAATCTTTACAAGTGAGATTGGTCTGTGGTGATCAGGCTTAGATATTAAAGTTACACTAGATTCATAAAATAAATTGGGGAAGTTTCCACCTACAGTTTTGACTAGTTTAAATCAAGCAGTTAAAACACAGCTATGATCCCCTCTGGCCTTGCTGTCTTTTTTCGTGGTAGAGCCTTAATTACATTTCCTATTTATGGTGGAATTAGTCAATTAAAATTTCTATTTATTTTGGGGCAAATATTCATTCTTTATCCTAAAGTTTCATAACTTAACAAAAATGTGTCTTGGTGTTATAAATCTTGTCAGTCCTCCCCCCCCCCCCCCCCCCCCCCCCCCCCCCC